TCTCTCTCTCTCTCTCTCTCTCACACACACACACACACACACACGCACGCACGCACGCACACACACACACACACACACACACACACAGGCGGACCGTTTCTGTTGTTGGGGTTTGTGTGTGTTTCTTTTTCTCTTTCTTATGCTCGTCACACACCGTTGTTGGTGTGTGCTATCCTTGTGCACGCTTGTTATTCTCTTTTTTTGGTTATTGTTCTAGTTTTAAGAGATCTTTCAAAGGCATCAAAGACAGACTAACTTTCACAAGGTTTGCATGCACAGGTTGGATAATGTATGCTCTGTGATCAAAGCGCACTGAACACTGTGCAATGTGTAGCTGATGTAAATGCGGTGTCAGGCTCAGGTGTGTGTGCTTAAACCACGACTCCGTTGGTCCCTGCACTGTTTGGACTGGGCAACTAGTATGGTGGAAAGAGGCTCCAGCCAATGCACCATCATGATGGCTGTACTGGACCAGAAAGATGCTCTATGCATTTGCTGAGGGTGCGTTGGGTTCGGGGGGCTGCTGCTGAACAGAATGCACCCATTATGGCTGTACTAGATGGGAAAGATGGCCTGTATACATTTGTTATCAGGGTGCATTGTGTTCAGGGGGTACTCTCTCAATTCACTTTTCTTCTACTTATATAAGTTATATTCTAATTTTTCATCTTGCATTGTTGGTATATTACTCTAAAAGTTATATTCTAATTTTTCATCTTGCATTGTTGGTATATTACTCATTTTATTAGAGCCTGTTGGCTTTTCGCCTTTACTGCCATCTATTCTCTCTCTCTCTCTCTCTCTCTCTCTCTCTGTGTGTGTGTGTGTGTGCGTGTGTGCGATCTTGATTGGTCATATGTCCATTGCCACAGTGCCATNCTATTCTCTCTCTCTCTCTCTCTCTCTCTCTCTCTCTGTGTGTGTGTGTGTGTGCGTGTGTGCGATCTTGATTGGTCATATGTCCATTGCCACAGAGAGAGAGGGTGAGCGTCTTTCTAGTACGGGCGCGTGCTGCTGCCCCTGGCGTCCTTGTCTGAACACGAAACGCCCTGATAGTGAATGTATATAAGCAAACTCTCCCGTTGGTACAGCCATAACTGTGTGCATTGTGTTTTTGGGGTACCCGTTTGAAAACGTGTTAGAGTGTGTGTTTGAAAATCAGCCTCAGGCGAATGTGCGAAACACTCACACACACATGCAGCATACCAAGGCACACCACACAGGAATAGACTAAAGTAGAGTTGAATGGGGCGCAGGTATCTGCGTTTTGGAAAACAACATGCCACATGAAGGACTGAAACGGAGCAGGCGATTGACCCAACACTGTTTCTGCTGATCGCCCGTCCGACATCGTCGGCCCAACACTGTGTTTCTGCTGATCGCCCGTCCGATGTCGTCAGGGGTTGTGATAATCTACCAAGCGCAAGATGATTTGGACGATGGCTGTTCCTAGTTCTCATACCCTCTTCCTGCAGCAAGACCTTGACACGTTCTGTCAATTCTGGCCTCTCCTAGAATAGTCGAGAGACGAGCACTGTACTAAACATAGTCGATCGGAAATAGCTACTCCAGAAGTTCCCCTGTTCGAATCCTGAAAGACTGTAAGGAACGTCAAGTCCAAAAGGTCCCCTGTTGAAGTCCTCTCTGGGGAGACAGAACTTCATCTGTGAACTCAAGGAAAAAAAAAAGAACAAAAAAGAGAAAAAAAAGACCGCTGTTTGATTCTAGCTCCTCAAAGGTCGTGGAGGACAACAACTTCAAAAGATCCCCTGTTCGAATCCCGAAAAAAGTTGAAAAAAACTCCAAAAAGATAGATCCCTTTTTTTTTTTTTTTTTTTTTTTTTTTTTTTTTTTGTCTGGGACCTTCCCTTGTCATTGCACGGCCGGGCCGCCCGGGGAAATAGGGTGACCCGGGCGGCCTGGCTGGTAGCCTAGGCCGGTGCTAGTTTTATAGCAAACCGATGAACCTGGCCATTTTCTGGGCGAAAAGACATTCGAAACGTTTTTTGTTTCGTGTGCGGTTGCCAGATCATGAATGTGCACTGTACAAGCAATTGTTCTCTGTTTATTTTTGTTTCTTTTTTCATCAAGGGTGAGGCCCTTGAGATATCATCATTCAGCTGACCGGGCCCAGTCAATTCAGAAATATTTGACTTTACGCATGGGTGTGGTCCCCACTGCGCTAGGCTCTTGAGAGAGAAGTCATTGAGTTCCGTCATCTTGATTCGAACTTGGGTCTGTCTTTCAACAGTTAATGGGTGTGGTCCCCACTGAGCTAGGCTCTTGGGTGTTGTTCTTTGCGTTGTTTTGGGGGAGGAAAGGGGTTTTCTGACTAAACAGGATGTGTGCGCAAATGCAGTCAGATACATCCAGGAAAAGGTTCTAGTGTACATTTATGCCCCCAATGTCCTGAAGACATTCATTTAGGGATGTTTACATCCCCTCCCTTAGCCCAGGCAGTGGTCAAGAAAGGAGAGCACCTGCTGAGAAAACGACAAATTAAAAAATAGTTTAAATAAATAAAAAGAGGAAAGTTCAAATGTAAAGCCGCAAACCTTCACGAAACAACAACAGCTGTGCTCCTGCTTCAGGGAAAAAAAAAAAAAGAAAAGAACAAACAAACATACAAACAGAAAACCGCGGTAACAGATGCCAGGACTGAGAAAACCAGGGTGAAGTGGGAGTACTCCAGGGGTCTTATCCCCCTAGCCGTTGAGTTTCGTCAACCTCCGAATCTGGATATATTTGTGGAGATGTTCAGTTAAAGAAATTCAATTCAAGTCATTTCTGCAGATTACAGAAACACGTCCAGATTTGGCCATCTCGAGGAAACTCCAATGCTGCTAGTGGGAAGAGTACCCAGGAGCCAGGTCCCACTACCTTCTTCCCCCGAATACAACGTACGGTCATTACGGCTGTATCTAGACTGAAAGATACCTCAAATGCAGCTATAACGACCGTACGTTGTATTCGGGGGAAGAAGGTAGCAAAGGGGATTTTGGAAAAATATCCTGAATCTGGAGGTGTTTTAGGCAGACATGCAGAAAAGCAGTTCAAACTCAACATTCTCCAACTTTCCACTAACACGTCCAGATTCAGGTCTTCAATCCTATCCTCTTTGCTAGTGGAACCTTGCCCCAGAACATGACAAAACTTCTGCCTGTCCCACCAATGAAATTCTTCCCGCCCGGCGTGGTTACCCGGCAGAACGTTCGGAGGTCCCAGGGCCGGAAATTTGGAGGCCACCCCCGGGCCGACCTCCAAACGTTCGGGCGTTCGGGCATTCGGGGCCCATCCCACGCCAAATTGCATTTCAGGGTTGATACTTTTTTTTTTTTTTTTTTTTTGCGAGTGTGTGTAGATAGCCTAGTGGTAGCAAGTGAACCTGTTCCTGAAATTTTGCGATGGTCTGTTCATTAAACAAATAAAGTAGGCTTCCTGAGCCACCCGGCAGGGCCGGGCCGGCACGGCCTTGCACCCGTGCAAGATCCTTTTTTTTTTTGCGGTGATGGCACTGATCGGCCTTTGCTGCACTTGCAGAGATCTGCCAGAATCTGCCCTTTTTGTAGTTGTTGGGGTTGGGTGGGGTGGGGTCTGTGTGGGCCTGTGTGGCTACTGTGGCAGGGCGGGKGGGGTTCGGTGGGGTCTCACTGACTCAGTGTCTCAGACTCTCAGATGCTTTTCAGGTGGGGTGGGGCGGGGKGGGGTCTCACTGACAAAATGAATGTTTGGGATCAGCTTTTCCAGGACCATCCCTGGCCCCTGCAGTTATTCTTCTTTTTCTTTTTCTTTTTTTTTTTTTGAAGACCCCGGCGAACATAGCACACACCCCCGGCGACACGTCACATCTCTTTCTAATGATCCAATGTTTTGGCGCGTAGCCCCGCATACGGTTACGGCTTTAGTTTTAGGAATTGCAGTGATTTTTATTTTGAGGACCAGACACACACGATTTAGAAGTGTCTATCTTTTGAGGCAAGGAACTTCCGCGACTGACACATTGGGGGGGACACGAGGATCTCATCCTCTCACTAGTCTATTTTGATTTTAGTACGGAACACTTAGTGTTTATTTTATTTTTAAATTAGTTATTATTATTATTATTATTATTATTTTTTGACAGACACACGCGAAACGAAGAAGGAGAGCTAATGATAAAAAGCATGAGAGATAAGGCACGGGTCTCTCTTTTCGACTGAAGCGCTCGTGAAGGGCGTACCTTCCTGATGATTCCGTTGTGGACGGATGAAACCGGTAGGAGGACCGTGTTGTCGAGTTCTGCAGGTGATTTTGGCTATGGTGGTGAAGGTTTCGTGGCATGTGGGAAGTGAAACTTTGTTGATGTTTTTGAAGGTTGAGCTCGTTTCGGCGGGTTTGTTCAAAGCTTGACTCTGTTTTTTTTTTTTTTTTTTTTTTTTTTTTGGACTCTGTTGACTCTGTTTTCTAAGTTTACATGTTCACGACTCTTTGTGCTACTGTGCCCTCCCGGACAGGCGGTTGCCGCAGTCTGCCACACCACACCCGGCGACACTCAGACAGACTCGTAGAGGCGGAGGACTGTGGGAGGGAGGTGGAGGACAGCGGGAAGGAGGTGGAAGATGGTGGAAGAAGAGGAACGAAGTCGAATGGGAGCGACAGTCACCTGGGATTTTTT